ATATAAACCGAGTTGGGTTAAGTCGGATTGACCCCTACCCAACCCAATGAGGACCAAAGCAGACTTGAACCTAAAGTCAAATCAAAGTCAACTGTACCCAAACTCAATTAGTCTGATCCATCATTTAAATTTAGACCAAGACCCAGTCGGGTTTACCTATTTGGTCCATAAATCAACCTGGCTCATTTCCCGCCCTTATTCTTGTGCTCTCTGTTTCTCTCATTTACTTTAGGGAAGTATTCTCAAGGTTGTGGCTTTATAAAGCCGCCCTTGAAAGCTTCCTAAGTTTCTGCACCACGAAGTTTGTAAAATGATCATTATGACTTTGACAATCATGAATTTAGAACAAAAAAAAAAAGATTTAAAATCCTAAAAATGACCAACTTTAAGAACACTTTTTATCAGGGTTGTGGGTTTTATAAAACCGCACTTGAAACCATCCTAAGATTCTGCACCAAAAAATATGTAAAACGATCATTGTGACTTTGAAAATCATGGAAAAAAAAAAGTAAAAGAAAAAGAAAAAAAAAAGAAGGATTTAAAGCTCGTAAAATGGCCAACTTTAAAACACATTTTTTCAATTCTCGATTTCAGTTATTCCCAAATCTATTTTTTTTTAGCTTCATATTCCATGGTCAAAAGGCAAAAAAATAAATGACAATATATAGCATACTTCTACAGGAGAAATACTGTGCATTAACTCCGTTAGGTAAAAGTGATAGTTAGGAGGAATTTTTTATTTTATTTTTTGGAATCCAACTAAATGTAACTAAATTATTTTCAAGAAAAATTAAAATAAAATATTTTGAGTTCTTCAACCGCTAGATCTAACCCTCAAAAAATTGGATATTCAATGTTTCATCTCGTTAACATGTGATTTGGAAATTTTCATTTTTGAGATGGACCGCTCACACAAGAAGTTACATTTCCAAAAACTTGGGTTCCTAGATAGTATGCTCCCCTAACAGCGGCATATATTTAAGGAAAATAAATTTTCAAGCCATCACAAGTATTTCTTTAGAATTGCATATACCTAAACTAGGTATTGAGGTACAGCTTTAACAATTACCATAAACCGCAGGAGCTATACCCCTTCCCACAGGAATCAAGAGCCTCTCTCTCTCTCTCCCTCTCTGCTATCATTCATTCAAATTTGTGCATTTCATTAATGTGTACATGGATTATGCTCTAGGAAGGGCATCCACCCGTGCATCTAAAGAGGAAACAGTGGATGAGTGGTAGAGCTACAACATGACATCAAGAGTTCTATTTCTCCCCAGTAACAAGCCAAAAAAAAAGAAAAAAAAGAATGGTGGAATGAATCAGATAGATTGTTATTTCAACGGCAGGCAAGCAAATATTCAAACCCAGATGTATGTTTACATATATCACTCCTTAATGAGCATGGAAAGGTAGACAATGGGAGCAGGGGAATTCACATATCCTCAGCCATCGGCTGTTGTTATTGGAAGGCCAGGCTGATGACAAGTTTCCCACAAGATCATTATGTTTCCTTTAATTTTTTTTCCTGATATGTTAACGACAAGAATAGGGGGTGAGACGTGATGTTGAGGCAATTTCCTATCAAATGAACTAACCAGATGATGGTACAGTATCAGCCAGATAGGCAAGATTGAAGTCAAATAAACCGACCAACTGCAACACTTACTAAGAGTACAAGTTAGTTAAGTAGGACTTAAAAAGGCAGAGGATAAATCCAAAAAAATGTGATTGGAAGTATTTTGAAAAGATATGAGGACATATAACCACACTAAAGCTATAGTTTTTTATAGAGTAGAATGACATACCAAGATTCATGTAGCTGACCCCAATTAATTAGAAAAAAACTATAATGATGATGATCATGAAGGAGAAAGAAGCGAACACCCTAGATTTTTGCTTTAATAAAATAAAGATTTTAAGGAAAATATCTCTAATGGACTTCAAAATTCGAACACATGTGGATCTCATTTAAATGTGCATAAAATACCAAAAAACAAAGAAGAAGCAGGAACACATGTGGATCTCATCTAAATGTGCATAAAATACCAAAAAACACAGAAGACAGGGAAGGCATTTAATGTGCATTCCCCAAATGGACAAAGAATATAAGAAGTTCACAGCATACAAATATTGTGTATGCTAACACATTCAATAAAAGGGATTGTATAACATAAGATCATTTATCTTTGTTACAAGGAAATCATAATTACTCCTAGCCATTAGATGTCAAATTGGATGGCTTGAAATGTTTCACAAAGTTTGAAAAATTCTTTTCGAGCTTTGAATCTAGTCAATGACACTCTTACAACCATCCGATTTAAAATCTGATGGACAAGAGTAATTATGACCTCCTTGTATGAAAAGTATATGATCTCTTTGTATACTGTCCACTAAGTAATTGAATATACTTCAGATCAATTAGAGTAACTCATAGATTGTTATGGATGGATTGTCGGGCCAATCGGAGCTGTAATACCATACTTTAAATTCAACCAATCCACTCCAAAGTTAAAAAACAACACAGAAAACAATAATAGGCCAAGATTTGTTCGGCTAAATATAGTTTTTTCCTTTTGTAGGATAAATAGAAGGAAAAAGCTTGTATAAGTGGGAGGCCCTAAAAAATTAAATTAAGGTACACCACAAAATTTCAATAAAAGAGGTTGTTTCAATGCCCAAAACTCCTCAAATCAATCATCTAGACCGCAACATGCAGACATGAGAAAAGATGGATTTCAAATCTTGGAAATAGTACATCTTGTAATGTATTTTCAAAATTTTCAAGTGTTAAGAGATCTTGATCTACACTACTTCCTAACCTTTAAATTTTATAATTAAAGATGAAAATAAATATTCAGGCCATCACAAAGATTTTTAGTGCTGAAACATCTTTTGACACTATTTGAAGGTGTGCCTTTTTTAAGGCCTAAGCCTTATACAAACCACACCCTAAACAGAATGGCTCAAGAATCAATGTAACCAGACTCAAGTATTATCCTCCCTAGATTACAAAAACCTCTCTAACAAGCACCTTAACCCTCTTCCATTTGCACCTCTCTCTCTCTCTTTCTCTCTCTCTCTCTCACACACACGTGCGGACATAAATGGTGACTCAGTGCTCGATCTCTCTATTTCTCTCTCCCTCTCTCATACACGCACGCAAAGAGAAATAGTGACTCAGTGAGCATCCCTTCATAAGAACCATGAATCCTAAACTTGCTTATTTGCCCCCCATCTCTCAATCTCTCTCTTGTTCGAATATATCAGTCTAATGAGAACCCCTCTCTCTGGCATTGGGTTTTAACATTAGACATCACCTGCTGCAAGAGGGAGGGATGGCCTGTTATGATGTTGTCCACACGCTCAAACAACATTCTGCGCATTGAGTCTTCATCATCAACTGTCCAAGCATATACTTTCTTCCCTGCACTGAAATGAGATACTACAATCGCCTAAGTAGTAGAAATTTTGGCGACTGAAAAATCGGCGAGTTGGAACTCAGGCTAGAAACTGGTGAGTCAAAGCCCGAGCCCGTACTTTTAAACTTAAAACTAACAAAACGAAAAGAGAAAATACTGTGAGTAGGCCGTAATACCTGTGCAAAATTGTTACAAGTCTCTCATTGATTAAGGGATGGTAGACACCAACAATTTTAGCACCTCTCATCCTCAATAGGCTTGTCCTAGCTCCAGTTGATAGATCATTCATTACAATATAACCCACCTGCATAATAATTGCATGTAAACCTCTAAAAGAAACGGATAGGAGGAACATAATTTGCACAAACAGATAAGGAAAAGGAATTCTTCCCATGCAAAGTAATGGGCTTCTATCAACTCTCTCTCTCTCTCTTAAGAGTATGTCGATACTGGAACTAAACCAAGAAACGTATAGGTCAAGGCATCCACATCACTGGGCTACTGTGGTGTTTAGCTTTGCTCAACATTGAGTTCTTTGCAAACAATTTCCCCAGTAACTAGTGGTTGAAAACTCGGCGAGTTTGACTCGGACTTGTCGGAGTTACTCGGACTCGAACAGGCTGCTGACTAGAACAGAAACCTAGGGAACCAGCTGAGTCTCGCCAATTCCCAAGGTCTTATGGCCATTTCTTAAAAGACTCCGTCAAATCTTTGACGAACTCAGCCAAGTCAAGTGGCCTAACTCAGGCTCAGGACCCTAGCAAGTCCCAACGTAAGTCCTTTTTTAAACTGTTTTCCAGTAAGTGCATGCATTCAAGGAAAAGGGAAATGGCATGGAATCCTTACCATAATATCCTGGGATAGTCTAATAACATCTCTTCCCAAAGTATCGCTCTTGGCCCATATTACACAATTTATACACTGGGTTTTATTTACCTGCCAAAGTTTAACGATGAGAAAAACCGCCAAAGAAATTAATTGGAATAGCTTTAGGCCCAAACAATGGATATTTGAATGATGGATTATGTCAACAGGCTTAGAACATACAATGGATAGTATGTCTGCAGCCAGCCCCTTCTCATGCAAAGGAGGGCCAACTTTTGCATCTACAATGACTTGCTTAACTGATCTGGATACAAACTGCAATAAGGGAATGAGATGATTTCAATATCGTTTATTTGATTCTGTCTCTCAAATTATAAAGGCTGCGATTTCTGTTGGATTATGGCTTTATGATACATGGTAAAGTTGTACCTCAAAACCCTATTCGAAAATGCAGTTCTGGCACCAAACCCTTTGTTATGGCTACAAATCTATTTCTACATCTGACTGGGGGATTTGAAACTCCAAAAATAGTTCAGATTTGACAGATCTATGGACACTTGAAATGGACAGTCCATAAAACATGATACAAGATAAACCTTTTTTGGGGTTTGAAATCCCTTTTTTTCAGATTTGTGATGTAGAGGTTGAGATGGCTGCTTTGAAGGTTTTTAAGCAAAGAATTGTATTTTCCAGTGAGAGAGGTAGGGCTTGTAGAGCCACAACGCTACAAAATAGTTTCCCACTATAGGTATGCTACTAATCGTGATACTAGTCTAACAACACCTCTCTGTCATTGATGATGTACTACAAAAACTCCTTAAAACAATATGCACAAAACTGTAATCGTTCTAGAATTGCTACTTTCTTTTTGACAAATAGCTTGTTATTGTTGACTCAACACTCCATATATAAATGATGAAATTACAAATTGTACAATCTATATAATAATAAAGAGCTTAAAATATTCCAAAGACTTTCTTTTGTGGACATGCCAGAGAGCTGACCTACAGTTTTCTATTATCCGAAACCACAAATAAGCTAAAGTTTCAAAACCAGAGTGCCTCCAATTCTCCAAAATTTATGAAACCACTGCTTGCCAAATGGAAAAGAGAAATAACACCCAATTCTGTAACAGTCCCTGATTAATGACAAAGTTTACCTTCTTAAAACTTTAAGTGTGCAAACCCACAACCACAACCCGTCTCCCCCTAACAATAAATATATATATATATATATATATATATAGAGAGAGAGAGAGAGAGAGTTCTACATTCATAAAGCACCTGTCAATTACTCCTCCAACCTGTTAATGTTAGACAATGTAACAGTTGGAGCCCGTTATAAAAGCGAGAGAATTTTTTCTTAAGATCATATGATAAAATAAAGAACATTGGCAAATACCTTTAAAGCATCCTCAACCATAGGAACCGTATGTTTCTGACTCTTCTTTGAGAATGTAAATGCCCCATCTAAATTATTTATCTACAACCGCAAAGAAACGTCACATTGTCTACACTTGTTCTAAATCTAAAACAATTAGTTTCACATAATGATACAGAAAATAGGTCTATAAATTCACTTATGAAATTGGAAAAATACAAGGTTTTGAAAAAGGTTTATAATGGTACTGAAGGAGCTGGTCCATTTCTGTCTTATAATATTATGAAAATGGTTTATAATATTATGAATATTAATAAATAAATAAATTTTAAAAATTAAAAATAATAATTCTAATAAGAACACATTTGGACCGGTAGTTTCCATTGTTCTTAGATGGAACACTACTTGCATCCATCTTTAAGATGGACGCTTTACACTTTCTGGATCGCATATGTAGAAATGCGGTCCAGCCCGCATGAAACAATTTTCCTATTATAAATTCCATTATAAAGAAAAAAAGGCGCTTTACCAAACATTTGAAAAAGAGAAAAAATCCAAAAAAAATCGAAAAAAGAGGGAAAGCAAAGAAAAAAAAGAAGGAAAATACTGGAACAAAAGCAAGTAATATCTGAAATACATATTTACTTTTCCGAGCCCATAATTTCTTTTATAATGGGCATTATTTTGATTTCTCATTATTTTTTAGTATAAGAACTGATACCCATTATAAAGGGCATTATCATGCTTGGAGATGTGCCCTTTCAGCAATACATACACAAGTGGGCACACAAATTTGTCTCACCTCATTCATGCTGAAGTACCCAACTTTCGCAGTAGCATTACCAGATAAGCGCTGCAAGTCCCTGCCTGTGTCACATGAGAATCAGGCATCTAAAGGATTTTCAGCAAAAACTGAAATTTGTTCAAAACAGAAAGTATTACCAAATAACTATATTCGGCTGATTTCAGCGAAGGGATTAGAGCTTTTTTTACAATAAAAATCAATGATTTTACCCTAAAAAGGGTAAAAGATCACATCAACTCTTTTATCACTTTTTTATTTCTAAAACTGTGTATGTTTGACATGAAGGGGACCATTTCCTTAATCGATAAAGACTAAGTCAAGGATGCTATCAACCAGTGACTAACTTATAACGTACTAAAATCAGAAGATCTTCCAAAAACAACTGCTGATTCATGAACTTTCCAAACTGAAACATGGAGCTTTTTATAAGGATACTTCTATTTTTTATGGCAGTGGCACTAAAGAATAGGTGTTTATCTGAAAACTCATACCATCTTTTACATTCAGCAGGTTTCACAAGAAGTATGTTTGTGATGATAAAATGATACAAGCAATAGAATACTGAGGCTTTATAGTCTCTAAAAAGGATGCGCATAATGATCAAAAGCAATAGCATAATCAATGACATTTCAGAAAAATTTCATCGTAAATGGATTTTAAACAGAAAGGATTGAAAGGTACCTATCATGAAGTGCAACCAAAACTCCATCCAGTGAACGAGACACATCAATCTCAATACAATCTACTTGTGAATCAAGAGCGATACGGTATGCCTCCATCTGTCAAATATATGAACCTTTCATTAAGTTCAAGTGTTAATTAGGCCACGTTAATGTTGGCACAGTAATTGAAATAAAACCTAATAAAAAAGGCAAAGGAGAAAAAAGAAGGATCTATATATGCAACACAAATTTCCCAAAGCAACCATCCACCATGGAAGCTGGCGATTAGAGACTGCACATTGCATTGCTCCTTGACTGATATGAGCAACTTTGAAAGCTCTCATTGACCTCGAGTGGCAACTAGTAGGCCTCCAGTTTAAAGCATAACTAACGATAACCTATATTACTAAAGGAGAATAAGTAGGAGTATGAATTTTGAATTCCTCACTGTACCTCCTTTCTCCCTCCAATTTTCCTAAAAACTCAAAAAAAAATAATGAAAGTTTAGATTCCTAGATCATCTCTCTCCACACTTCCATTCTCAAGTAGTATATCTAAGCAAATTCAATAAGTTTTCCAACTTTTATCTTTTTCTGAACTCCAACCAACTCCTAGATTCTCTCTCTCAAAAAAGAGTAGGGAAATTAGGACTCCCATCTCATGTCTTTCCTAAACTTTAAAATTTCATTTTTTAAATCGGTCTTAAGTATCTCTAAAACAACTAATATTTATAATTAACAATCTTAAAAAAATTTCCGGAATAGTTTTTATATATAGGAAGTTTTTTTCAATAGTTTAAAAAAATGAAATTGTTTTATGATGGCATAAATTAGTTAAAAATAATGAAAACAACTGTAATTAAAAAAGTGATAAAACAGGATATATTAGGACTTCTTTCCTAAAATTTCAAAATCTTTAATTTTAAATTGACAATAATTAATTTTGAAATAAAGACAATTCATAATCTAAAAATTTTAAAAAAATTATCAAACATTCAATGTGTTATAAATAGGACATTTATCAAAAAAAATATATATTATCCAATTTTTATCATGGCACAAGTCATAAAATGAAAAAGATTCATTAAAAATAGAAAAGTATGGTAAAAGTTATATTCCATGCAACATGTGCCATTAGCCAATTCTCACCAATTCGAATTCCATTGATTTATTGATGAACCATTTTCTTGCTTCATTGAATGAAGCCCAAATTTCTGAAAAGAAGAAGTTTTTTATGTCACTCCATGGGAGAGAAATATCCACCAAAATTATGGATTATCAAATTGTCTGAGGTTTGACTTGTTTCACATTTTCTCCCATGGAAATGGAATATGTGAAGCCCTAACATTTTATCGCCTCATTTATATAACATTAAAATATCATTTATTAATTCAAGTGGAAAAGGAAAAGAAAGAAAAGGGAAAATATACAAATTATTGCAGTGGTGAGTTGCAAAACTGGCCACCACAAAGCGAGAAATGGGTGGGCAGCCCATAATACCAAGTGGTTGAATCCTTTGGCATAAGACAGCCAAGTCATCCCTTCTATTAGCTTCTTGACCTATAGGTCCAAAATACCAATGTAAAGATCATAACACAAGCTGGTACCATCCTTAAAACTCCTCCAAATAAATGAACAGAAAAGCATATCATAAAGGCAACTCAAAAGAAAGTTGCACTAAAGCCAGTACTCTCTCTCTCTCTC